CAGAAAGTCCAAAGTAAGGCTCTCGGAGGAGTGAGGACTTTCTGAAACCGGGCGTGGAGACAAAAGGTATAGTTCTGTTTATCTAATCCCATAATGTATAATCCCATGAACACCCGTCTGTACTTGTGTACTCCTTACAGATGATAGTTGAATCAAATGGTTACCCAAGATTATGTCATTTGTACATGTAGACACAGAAAGTATATGCCACCCCGGGGCCAGAATGGCTCACACTACATACACTATAGTGATCTTTTGGCCCCAAGAGTGCTGTATACTTGCTGTGTCTACTTGTACTTTGAAGTTCAAAGAACAAAAATCAGAGTATGACCAAAGAATTATATTGACTCTTGAAATATGTATTCACTCCCACTTTTCCAATCAGTAAGTAACAAGTTAAATATACCTATACTTACTATTTGAAATTCAGTAGTCACATCTGACAAACTCATCCCTGAATGACAAGCAGGCGGCGCCCGCCGCCCAATTTGCTAGTATTGTATAAAACACCTACTCGTTTTTTTGGCTTGTCAGCTTTTTATATCCTTTCAAACAGCTGATCAATCATCGCCAGGACATAACATTGCTCAGAAGGAGGATAGATTTTGAGGAAAGAATGCAATTATACATATGAAGACAAAGCTTGAAGCTCACCGTTCACAGGTCTGGACGACATTTACGTAGGAAAGGATGTGATTGTGTCGACACACCATTCCAATAAGGCCTGTCTTGTCACATCCTTTCCACGTGGCACGACCTCTGTGATCAGCTGCAGCAGTGTGCTGAGTGCTACAGGGATCCTGAATAAAAGAAAACTTATGTACTCAGTTAAACCAATTGAAATCGGATGGTTGATTTTCTATATCAAGATTACATACCAATTTGATTGCATCCTTGTTTTTTTTGATCCCTCCAACCTCCCACTCAACAACTTTTTTTGGATCAATGAAAAGAGATGGAATGATGATTTCTTTCTGTTTGTATTCTTGGCTAGCAGCTTTGTGTCAGCGGTGTTGAAAATTACCGTCAACACACACCACATAGTGAGGCTCATCTAGGTCGTCATTATTTGTCTCATAGTCTTGAAGGGGGCCAAAACACCTTGGGCAGTTCTTTGCCAACTGCTCGAGAGGACTCAGTTTCAAAGACTTGATAGAAAGCTCCTCTTCAAGTCTCAGCGTGTGTCTATAAGCATCAATTGCCAAAGAAAAAGTTTGGCACCACCGTCGAGGCTACATTAACACATGATGCATTTGCTTCTCAGTCAGTGAGTATTAAAAATAACCAATGTCAATGAAAACTACCTTATTCGAACCCCTAGCTATAATCAGCGCATTGAAAGTGTCAAGGAACTTGTCCAGAGCAAGGGCAAATCCTTGCGTCTGGACGGTGCAGTACTTCCACAGAATGCGATGAAAACAAATAAGACAAATTGAACACGCCATTTGAGGGTGGATTGGTGAGCTACCAATGTATCCCTTCCGAACCAACCAAACTTGATCAGATGTACAACTGCAAAAGTTCACCTGCTCCTGCTTTTGTTCCATGATATCGATAGATTACATCTGTAAGTATAAGTAAATCTAAGACAAAATACAATCAGATAGACGGTAGATGACAAACCCAGTAGGTCAACCATGCCCACTGTTCGAGTTCGTATGTCTCCTACACCACATGAACACGACATATTGTGATCTACACTCCATGATTGATTGTTGCCCCATTGGGAGGTCTTTTGGGAGCATATCATATATGTGAGGAACATTGGGCTGAGGACTTTTGTCCAATTTCTGGTTTCTCCGAGTTGCTGTTTCTTGTAGTAAGCGCCACATATGTATTCTCCAAATGTTGAATCTAGATTAGGGGTAGCTTCTGCTGTGTCAGAATTGGGTGGTAAGTCGTTGGGAAGATTGTCCGTTTGCTCCACAGGATGAATGTTTGAATCTTCTTCATCCAAGCTGCCTGCGGGATCAGGCCCTGGCCCCTCAATTTGGTGATGAGCTTGAGGCAATGCAGCAATAACTTGTTTAATTTGACCAATACAATTCTGAGCCCAGAGTGCCTTGTGTGCCCAAAGTTCAGCAACAACTTGAGCTGAGCCTTGTGGTGCTTCTTGCTTGTGTTTCTTCTTTGGAGGCCCCAGTCAATACCCAAATTGCTCCACTATGCTCCGGAAATTGACCAATATGCGGAGTGGAGCGGAGCCTGCGCTATGGGCGGAGGCGCTATGGCTCCGCTATTTTTTGAAAAACAAAACTCTCCAGGATGGCGCAGCGGTCCAAGCGCTATATTTTTGCCAAATAGCGCGCTCTGAGGGGCTCTGTTCTTAGCAAAAATATAGCGCGCTATACGGCATATAGCGAGCTACGAGGCAAAGGAAGAGTAAAAAGAAAAAACAAAATATATTTCAAACCCCATGTGTACCTGCCCAACATTCATTGTTGGGTAGGTAGGGGAGTGGGGTGGATTCTCTTATATAAGCTATAGAAATCTTGTGGAAACTGATAAAAGAAAATCTTAACAAAAAAAAAACACATAGAAAGTGACCTATATTTGTATGTATATTTGTAATTTGTAATGCAAGTAAATACTGTACTATCCCTTTTGCATCTTTTTCCCTTTTTTTTGCTATCATTTCCATATAGGATAGAAGTACTTTGGATGCTTCTTCAAATTGTCCTTGAGGGATGATGCCTTACTTCAACCAAGCTTGACAGCCGACCCAACACTTCATTGTTTTGGGGAGCATACTACCTCGAGTCGGAGTACAAACGTCGGCAGCGGCCGAGAATGTCCGCTCGCAAGCGCAGGAGGTGGCTGAGACCAAAAGGTAATCACGAGCAAGTTTGGCCAGTGTAGGTAAATGATGATGATCTGCCTGTTGATCAATCAAAGGTAAGACAAAGTATGGAGTCAGTCTCAGATTCTATATACAATGAGAAAAGAAAAGAAGACCAACCTTCCACCACTCAAGTGGGGTTTTGTCTTTCTTAATCCGAAATCGTCCACTCAAGTAGTCATCCAGCTCCGAGCGGGAATCGGATGAGTTGATTGGACTGTCAGTGGAGTCTCCAAAGACATTGTAGGCATCAGCCTCGACAGGATCATTGTGATCATTGGATGATGGTGTTGCTTCACGTGGTTCTGATTCTTCCATCAGATTGTGAAAGGCATTCTCAATCAACATTTTGGCAGAGCCGCTGTAAACCGGATAATGGAGAGAAAAGAACTTGTGTCAATATTGGGGATTCAGAACAGTTGCTAAGACTATGGCATTGCTTTCAGCAGCCTTGTGTTGGTATTTGATAACCCATTTGATCATCACATCGATGGCATTATTGATGTTCTGAAATGATTGACAATTGACTTGATGTTGTTGAAGGTCGGTGATGACTTGTTTGTATTCCGCTAGGAGAATGCAGCCTGTTGGGCCATTTCCCTCCACTCAAGATGTGGCTTCAACAAAGGTCTGCTCAGTCAAGCAAATGGTTAGTAAGTACATGCTATTCCTGTTAGATTCAGATAAAGACAGACTCTCACCTTCAACACCTTGTTCACCAGTTCCACTGTGTGCCATTCTTTGGGTGGAATAGTGAAGCCTTTGAAAAAATGAGCTTGACAATCGGAAGCAATCATTGTGTCAATTACCTGTGACACACTGATGAGAAAATGCACAAGGAAAATGGAAGAAAGGATTTGCTCACCTCTTGAGCCTCGCATGCAATTGTGCGACTTTCATAATGAGAGTTCCATTGAGTCTTGCATGGTCTCTTAACCATGCGACCTGTGTAACCCATACGGGTGGCACGGGTCTTGAAGTCGTTCCGACAAGCAGCGCTGCTGGCAATCTGGCCAGAGACTGTGTCCGCCTAAGTGAAAGATGTAAACCAATCAGTTTTGCCGAGCTGAGTGAAGAGTGAATAGACAAGAGAAAAAAGATATAAGAGGACCAAACGGTATGATACATACCTTTTGAAGAGCCCCCGCAACCAAATCACCAAAAATACCGTCTTTGTCTGGATTGTCTTCCTCATCATCCTCGTCATCATCAATGCCATCAGGCTTGTCGGGTAAACCCAAAACACTCTCTTTGTCCAATTCCAAGCCGTACTCAACAGGATCCTCCCCATTGTTCACCTCAAGTCCAGGGGTTGGGAAAGGAACTCGAGGAGTAGAATTCTTCAATTGGCCTACCTTTTGACCAAGGGCCTTAAGACCATGCCCAACAACCAAGTTAATCTTATGGGCAAAGCATCCCCTATTTGTGAAATTTCTTGGTCCAAAGAAATTTTTTCTTCGCTTACCTGAGCCGCATCAATCTATCAAAAAAAATCTGAGGAAATCGAGGAACCCTTCCTCTATGGGCTCCTGAAGTTTCATGTTTGAGGGCAATTTCTGGGACTTTGTTGTGTTTAAGCCGTCATATGTAATTGCTAAAAGTAGATACAGTCGCAAATTACACCAAAACCTGGAACTTGAGGAGCCCATAGTTGAAGGGTTCCTTGGTTTCCTCGTTTTTTTTCAACGGTTCAAAGGGCCTCATAGAGGCAAACATAACTTTTCTTTGGCTCAAGGATTTTCACAAATAGATGAAAAAGATTCATAAGGACACCAATTTCCACCAGCCACAAGCAATCTCCTCACCTGCAAAAATGTACCTGGGAGTCATAAGTCCCTCGCTGCGCTCAAAGCGTGCAAGAGTCAGCGAGGGACTTAGTTGAGTTTACGTTGAAACCTCTTGGATCAAGAATATATAGAGAGATTAAGCATTAAATCCTTTACTTACATAATGGGATTTTTCAAAGTTGGGTATATGACCAGTTGCATATGAAGGTAAGATTTCAATATGGTGTTCTGAATCAAACTTCAAAGAAAAGATATTGATCTGACCTTTCTTCCTCTGAGCTTAATGTACAACAAATTTGCTTTCAAGACTTGCACACCTTTTTAAATAGCTTTCAAAAACGCATCTTCTCATTATCACAAAGACAATGTCAAACTTAAGCTGCTACAAACGGTGTGACAGCTAATAGAACAATTTCAAGATAGGTGTGAATTTGTCTAGCAGCTGTGTACCTAGCTTCAACAGTATGAAGCAATAATAGATAGAAAGATGAATATTAGAATAAGTTTGTGATCACTTGAAGATATTGAAATTGATGATAATAATTGGAAGCGACTGACCTACGAGTTCATTTAAATAAGGAAAATTTGTGAGATCCTCTGTAGCTTCAAGTAGAGGAGGATCATGTAATGGTGGTAGATCTGAGACACTCATCTGTTTGACAGCATCAATGGTAGTAGTGACAACACGTTCCTAGAATGATAATATCAAAATTCTTTATCGATGGAGTGATTATTTTGATATTTATGGCTAGGAGGACGCAATCAAATAAGCAAAGAAGGACGTGGAAAGGTGTAGGAGAAACAGAAAGAGATTACAATGTTGGTGGGCGGTGTATCAGTTAGAAGAGAATCGGATCAGGTTTGAGTGGTCACTGTTGATCAAAGTGTGAGCCGGTTGAAAGATAAACGAGATGAAATTTCAGATAAGAGCTACTGAGGCAATCGATCGAAAGCGAAGGACAAATGAACATGATTGAGTGAGATATTCAAATCTTGAGTGTCATGAGAGGCGAATAAAAAGGAGGATGAGAGTACATTCTTCTTGTTTCTTTTTGTTGTTACTGATTAAATGAATTTGATTCTTGAAGCTTTGATTGAGTGAGTTGCAGTGAGCAGAAGTCAACGAGGACTCTCAACACAGTCTTCGAAACCTCTCAAGTTATAACCGATTTCATTCGCAACGACGGCACCTAGAGATTGGGATATGAACGCATCACATGGGAGATACATATCCATCAGTTCGAACGACAAGGTGGATCTGACCTCTTGCTGACGAGACACGATGTAATCATCATAGATCGACCAATGTAATGGAACTGAAAGACATTGAATCAATCAGAGAAACGTATGAACCTCAACCTGTACTACTTAGATATTTGTGAGTGTTGCCCGTAATTAAGACGATCCAACGGCGAACATTTGTTACGGTCACACCCTTCTTCATTTACCCATCTCATACACTTGTGAGTAGGTAATGAACACATGGTTCTCAATGACGATGTTTTTGATGATCATCGAGAAGTACAAAGACCTTACAATAAATTTCACCCATGTCATGATGGATTGACAAAAAAAGTCAAAACAACAACCAAGAATAAAGACGAAGATAGTGAGAATGCTTGACATACATCACAAGATTGAAATAAACAAAAGATATAGATGTTCAATGGAAATTTATGAGAGGATATATGTGAGCGTCGGGTAATCTCAAAAATGCTGACTGAATAAAACATCAGAGGATCAAAAGATAAGGAACAGTAGTAAAGGAGTGGGGAAAGCGACTTCGGATAATGTTTGAGGCATGTTTGGTTGTAGAAAGTATTCCATTGGTGCTGCAAAGCGACGCTGATACCCGCCAGACAAAGGATTGTTTCCTGGAAGACAATACCCATCAGACAAGACGTTATTGAGGATTGTGAAAATCGACGCACCATGATTCTTGAACAGGGGAGGATCTCTGGTTTCAGTACTCATTACCGTGTCCCCAGTCCCTGTAGCCAGTGTGGAAGTCGACACTGTAAGCCCCGCAATTAACGGAGGAAGTTGTGTAAGTCGCTTGTCTGGCACCTCCGGGGACTGATTTCAAACAAGAAATAGGCTGACCCGGTCTGCCCACCCTGTTGTGCTGCGCTAAAAAGTTCATTTTGATATGTTGGGATTGTGTTGGCAGCTCCATTTTGATATGATGTTGGGACTGTGTTGGCAACTCCATTTTGATATGATGTTGGGATTGTGTTACCATATCCGCTGGGTTGGGCGGTAGTTTGTTGGTTCGGCCTGGCCATATCAAGTCAGAAGTCAGATTCCGATCAAATTCATGTACATATGTAGGCGCGGAAGGTAGGCCTACATCCATTGAGGTCGGCCAGATACGCTTGCTGAGGAGAATCAAGATCAACAAAATGCAGAGAATATAAGCAAAACCCGAAGTAGACCAAAGATATGGACTATTGTAAAGAGAAAATCACCTGCAAGAACCAAAACGATAAGGTAGAAAGCAAAATGCATATTCTTCTTGCGAGACGTGTAGAGGGTCTTGATGTTTCGAAGGTGGTTTTGAAAGAGGACTTGGTCTCGCCTCTATATCAAGGCAAAAAACAGCGTTCAAGCTAAGTAGTATAGTTCTGCCAAACTTCACCTGTGCGAATTGAGAATTCTTTCGTTTCTCAGCCCGACGGACGCAGACTCACGGAAGACTACATACTTATGTGCTCTGAGAACCCCTCGCGTGATCATTTTTCATCGACCAATTCAAAATACATACTTACTAACAAAGTCCCAGCCGCGTCTCGCACGCTTGTCGATATCGTGACTGTGAGTACATATGTACAGTCAAACCGGAAAAGCTTGACCGATTCTGCCCGCAAAACTCGAGCAAATTGGCGGGGAATTGGTGGCAAGCTTTTCCGGTTTGGGGATACGGCTACGCTCCTGAAGCTTGACCCATTGCAGAACCGTTGGTATCCATCACGGTTTTGAAAACGCTGCACCAAATGTGGTTGATGAGGAAGATGTTGGCACGGAAGTTATGAATTTGAAACTCTGGATTCGAGAATTGTTTTCTGTATGCTAAACGCTGAACGGCACCGGGGGGTCTGAGCAAATTGCAGTGATGAGAAAACACAACCAGGAGGCCCTACCACCCGCTAATAATATGACCGAAGATGGTAGTAAAAAGAATGCTTGATGGAAAGCAGCTGAAAGATGCGGTGGGGCTGAAAAAAGGTCATAGAAAACCCTTAAACAAAGGATCAAACAAGCCTAGTTAGGTTTCAGAGCTGAGTTCGACATGAAAATGTTCGACTCACTGCCTGAGGAAGGATACCAACTGGATAGAAGGCACCGAGATATTGTAAAAGCACCAATTTTATTTTATTTTATTTTTGAAAAACTGGAGCAAACAAGAAAATGTTAGCGAGAATTACAGGCGAAGTAGGCAAGGCTACACACCAAACGCTGATATTTGCGGGAAACCCAGAAATATGGGAACTCGACAATGGTAAAACCACTAAAGAGAACCGTAAATTGTGCGAAGGAGCTGAAAAGCAACACAACAAGAATCAGCGAGAGTCACAGGTAAAGTAGACAAAGCTACTCACCAACGCTGTTAAGAAAGATATAACAAAAGTAACCACCCTAAGTCTGTGCAAACACACAGGACTGTAAAGGGAGACAACGAAAGTCAGACTTTGAACAAATTTCTGCACGAATTTGGAGCTGGACTCACGCAAGATGAGCCAGGAAAGGAGAGCTGCTCCCCGAGTGTAGCACCCGACATAACCGGGTTTTGGCGGCACGCAAAAAGATTCATAAGGGGGTGATTGTGAATGTAGGTTCGATAAGATTCCGATGACCACCTGCCGATACACTGGATAGTTTCCATCGGCATACCCGCTTGAGCTAAAGCAGTGGCGCCTCCCGTACGTAAAGAATGACCAGTACAAGAACCATGAAAGACGGAATTTAACCTGGAGATGAACCATGAGCGCGTTGGGATAGAGCCATCCTCCTTGAGAAGCCAAAAAGGACTGCTTTGGAAACAGAGGTCTCTGTTAAGAGTGTAGGTGATGATAGTGAGAACCGGGCAGCAAGGATTTTCCCAATTTAAGATAACAACATCAGAGCCAGAGTACAGTTTGTCCGCCTTGTGGTAAGGTAAGGTGTAGATTACGGCAGAATTACAACTGGAAACGGATAATGAAGATCGTCTGATAGTCTGTCGGTTGTTGCGCAACTCGATAGAGTCTGAAGTGGTGAGTTCCCCAAGCCGGTGTAGCGCGGAAAACCCTAAAGCGATGATAGTGTTGAAAAGCTGGTCGTCAAAGGTGGATGAAAATGTTCTAGCGCACAGGTGAATATCGTTGAGAGTGAATGGTTTCGCGCGAATAGCAGGAACCGAGAGCAACTTCCGGCAGCCTTGAACAGAGCGGCGAACGTGTTTAGATGCCCTGGCTTCCATAACAAACGGGAACTCATCCTGAAGGCAATAAGCGATACCGGTAAGGTATTTGTTGGCTGTACCCGGAGCTAGATCTAAACAAGTGACCGATGTAAAATGAGCTAAATTGATTTCGTTGGGAATAAATTCTACATTATGATCTTGACAGAACTTTCGAAAACGACGAGTAGCTGATTGATATTTCTTGACAGTGGAAGTCTCTAAATGCTTTGACATATGATGTTGGTTGAGCGCTTCCCTCTCAGAGAAGGAGAGAGCTATCAATTTTTCCTTGCGAACTGCTGGCATTTCGGCGGAAAGCACGAGAACCAGGTTTGAAGCCACCACTGATGGTGGGTTTGGTTGAAGGGAGAAAGGTGTGGTTGCTAGCCGGGAGTTTAAGACGGACATCGTCCACCCTTTGGCGAGAGAGATTGTCTGTGATGCGATTGATATCCCCAGGAACGTGTCTTACTTTAATATCAAGGTCTTTCTCCAGCATGATTGAGACCGCGTGCCTGAAGAGCAAACGAGCAGAGGCAATCGGTTTGTGGGAGCTGAAAAGAGCAACCACTGATTGGTTGTCGGAGAAAATCGCTATGCGCTTGACGAAAAGATCTGAAGCAATGTTGATAGCGGTCACCACAGCAAGCAACTCGGCCCAGAAATTGTCTCGGGAGGGTGGAGGGAGTTGTCTGTTCCAAGTGGCGTTGAGCTTGGGACACCAGATCCCAATGCCGGTAGGACAAGCGTCTACAATAAAAGTTAGGTCCGCAAGGTCCAGGTTCCAAAAAAGATTCTTGAGGATCTTCCTACCAGACCAAGCCTCGAGGGAGTCAGCAAGCCAAGAGAGGTCCTCGGTAATCGCCTTGTTTCGAGGAACTTGGGAATTCCGCATAGATTTTCCAGCAATTTTATGCCAAGAGGATTGAATCGCCCACCTACCCAGCAGAAACGTATTAACTGCCCAGTTCGCCCAGCCAGTGATACGCTGCCAAGCTATCAAAGGTTGGGAGGAAGGAATGATGAAGTTGCGAAGGGCTTCGATCAGGGCCAGGCGTTTGTCGGTCGGGAGAGAAATTGAAAGGGTATCACAATTGATGGTATGGCCTATAACATCAAGCTCAGTCCCCCATACCTGCTTTCCCCACGCCCAAGGGATATTGAGATAGTCAAAAATTTCCAGGAATTTTGCCTGGTTTGAAGGAATCACATGATCCTTGAACAATACTAAATTGTAAGCTGAAGAGATCCCCCATGAATCATCCATGTAAGCGTTAATTTCTTTGATGCCGAATTCATAATACACAATCCAGAACCAAAATTTACGCAGTGGTCGGTGTGAAAGGCATTCTTAATCCTGACGATTTGATGATATTGCCATTGGAGAGAAACCGGGAGGATTCAAAACGCAGAGTCGACATCGGATTTCCATAGAATTGATGACAAACCCAAGCAATAACGTTTCAAAAGGAATGGGAGGCAAGAAGGGATAGAGTCTAACTTAATTTGAATCATTGACCTTTCTATAAGACTGTTAGGCGACGGGCTGCCATGGCTCATGTTCGTACAAGTGCGAATTTTTCCCGTGACCTCGTTTTTAGCTAGACACAAAGGGGAAACCTTCATACCTGGAAGCAAAGATTGGAAACCGGGAGAATAACAACCAAGGGCCATTTCCTTGTCTCGAGTAGCCACTAGAGAAGCTTCTTCCTCATCCCCTGACGCATGGTTAGGATAGAACACAGTCTCATCCAATGGTTTTTCCGACATAGGCCAAAAACCTTCTGTAAGACCCAAAATGACTGAATCTACGAAAGGCCGGTTAGGGTGTTTTTGAAGGAGTAATGAGAATTGGGAGACATTTATAGGAGTGTTGATTTGAAAAATTTCAGGAGCGCGTCGGATTGCCCTGGCAGCAAAGACATCAGATGAGAGAGGAGGGGCTGCCGGGAGAGGTTCTGCAGATAAGGAGAAATCGACCGATGCTGAAAAGCCATCCCACAGAGCGTCGATCTCCATGTTACGCACAAATTTGCGCGTATTAGGTTCATCAATGAGTGAAGATGCCGCGATGATTTCCAAAGCATCCCAACTTGTTGCAAACGTCATGCGCGTGGATGCAGTCGTCGGCTGATTTCCTGCACACGTTAGCATTCCAGTTGTCACAAGGCTGATCATGATCAGCAACACCTTCTTTAGCCTTAATTTCATAAGGAGGAAAACTTTGTTTTGTTTTCTTTGGTGCTGCTTTAGGTTTTGATAAAAGAGCTTTCTTGCTAGAAGAAGCCCTTGGCTGAGCGTAAGAAGGTTGAGGATAGGGCAAATACGACGAAGAAGCCTTTGGAGTTGCCACCGGGGGGACGTATTTGACGTGGAGATTACGTCCTTCAAAAACTTCAAGTTCTGGCGCGTTATAGTCACCCCAAGCGAGAGAGGGACATTGAGAGAACTCCTGGCTTAATTCGGCGTTGTAGCTTTTGACGTGTGTCCAATGAATCTTGGATTGATGGCGGCAAAGTTTTGAAATTTGGTCAAAGTAATCTTTGATGGGAACGGCGGCCAAATAGTAAGCTGCAAGGTATGCGTGTCGGAGAACCTCCATGATCTGAGTAAAATCTGAGAGATCGTTGATGGCAAGAGGATTAGTGACACCTTTGACATCCATTTTCTTTGATTTTTTGTCGAAAAAGAAAATTTCAGCTGAGGGCTTTGACTCCATTTCACCCCATAACTTCTCGAGGTCAATAAATTTATACTCAAGAAGATCCTTAGTAAGAGAGGTAGGCCAGCTTGATGGTTTGTTCGGCGAACAGTTGAACTGATCCACGTGATAATCAATTTCAC